GTACTATTTTTTGGGATGGCCCCGGGAACTATTTTATGGAACGGATGGAGTACTACGTATGATTAAATGGGATAATTCTATCATTCATTTAATGTTTGTGTATATGTATTTTATACACACAAAAATACAATATTACTTATCATATTTATGCAAAAACATAGATACAAATGTCATTTCTATATCTGTGACTAGACCCCGACTAGGCATCCGCCTAGCCGCCTAGGCGCAAGGCGCTAGGCTGGCGCCTGATTAGCGCCTAGCGCCTTTTAGAACATTGGGTATATCATTCTCTTTTGATCTTTAATAATTTTCATAATATTATTATCATTCATACAAAACTCTATTTTTTATCTTTAATTACGTATTAAATGTTTATCCCATTCCAATTTAATTTATTATGTTTAATTCTTGAAAAATGTTTGGTATACACATTTTTGTGTACACTTTTTGTACATCCATCTGTCTCACACAGACAAAGTTGTCTGTCTACAGACAACTCTGTAGAATTGTCTGTGGACAAACAATTTTTGTGCATGAGGTAGACGAATGTACAAAAATTCTACACAAAAATGTGTACACCTAGCAAAACCCTAAATTCTTTTAGCACACGTACAACGTTTTTCACTTTTAACTAGCACAGTACCCGTGCATACGCACGGGAAAAAACTGTTGGTATGTTTTTATTTACGACCTGATTAAATGTTAAAATAGTTTTTTTTACAAATTTACATCCTTTCGAAAATGGAGTACAATAAGTGAAGATAAAAAGTATAAATTCATACAACAAATATTCAAATTAAAACAAAATTAAGTAAAAATAAACCGACACCATCCCATTAGAATTTGGTACGGAGTAGTAATAATAATTAGTATTGTTGGTAAGGGATAGTGAAATATTAAACTTAATTATTAGATTTTTGAAAATGTATTTTGAAGAGAACTTTTAGTGGTGATGTCTAATGATTTTCTTTTTTTATCATGTATGAAAATCATCAATCCATGTTTTCTAAATCCTTGATAACGCCACATATATAAAACTTTATGATAGAGTATATGGGTCCAGACCCCATGACCCACATACTAAGAAGACTAAGAGGAGCACAACTGTCATCCAGTGGGTCATCCGTTGGCCAGATGGCACCCCATCGGCCAATAAAGAGTCGATCCAGAAGGCAAGGAGAAAACTTCTCCTCCGTCGGCCGACGCCTCCATCGGCCAGAAAGATCCCGCAGGAACAATTTCTATACTTAGTCAAATTCTTGTATCCAACCCATTAGAGGCCTTATATTGTAATGAGCCTCCCAAGCCCAAAGTTTGGGAGCCCAACCCATATTTTCCCTATAAATACTCCTATTGGGGTAGTTGTAAGGGGTTGAGAATTCATTTATACATACCACTATCTCTCTAGCTCTCCCTTCTCTCTAGGAGTTAATACTCCATCACTTTACATGACTAAAATGCGTCTAGGTAGAAATATTGCATCCTTTTCCAATGATAGAGCTTGATATTGATGGTTTGTTATAACATAGGTGACAATTATAGGAAAATATCTTCTCATAAGTTTAAAAGGTCATGAGAGAAATTTTTTCCGATCAATTATTAGTTTGTTTATCTTAAATTTAAAAGCACTACATATGATAAAGAAATTCTCCCGCTCAATATTTCGGTTTGCTTATTTTATCTTATTTAATACTTAAAAGAACTACGTATGAGAGAGAACATTGTCTCGCTCAATTATTAGCACGTTTACCTTCTTATATCTAAAAGCACTACGTATGAGAGAGAAAATCAACCAGCTCAATTATTAGTCTGTTTATCTTATACTTAAGCATTACATATTGAAAGAAAGAAAAATCTGCTCAATTATAAGCTCGTTTGTCTTATATCTAAAAGAACTACATATGAGAGAAATTATCGCTCAACTATTAGTTCGTTTATCTTCTTATACCTAAAAGCACTACATATGAGAGATAAAATTTTCTCACTCAATTATTACTCCGCTTATCTTATACGTAAAAGCACTACATATGAGACATAAAATTCTTCTGTTCAATTATTAGTCCACTCAATTATCCGTTGTTACTAATCATATTGAAGTTGAAATCTACCTATTTAAAATGTCACATAGACACACTAATAATTAAATAATGGAAAAATTGATTATAATAATCTCAACTATTGGCGGTCCGCTTATAATAATCCCAACTATCGATTATTTCATAATAATCCCAACTTTAGGGACCTTCCGCCAATAATAGTCCCTGTAAATAAGTTTATGTACTTTCTAAAGTGGATGAGAAAAGATATAGCAAGTAATCCCTATAAATTATCCCTAACTTTTAATTTTTAAGCTTAATTTCTATTTAAAATTCACTTTTATAGAAGGTAATATTTGGTCATGGACCATTATTGACGGACGGTCCATATAGTTGGGATTATACAAAAATAATCAATAGTTGGGATTATTGTTAGCGGACCGGCAATAGTTGGGATTATTATTTTCAATTTTTCCTTAAATAATAAAGAAATATAATGGTGTAAAGATAGAATTGCGTCATGGTCGGTTTCTACATTTTCAATTTAAATTTATGATGTACATGATTGTAGATAACCAATCAAATATATGTTTGGGCATTGTATATGGGGAAGTCTATAATTATGTGATATCTTCTTTATTATACCTAAAAGAACTACGTAAGCTCTTCCACTCACGTATTATTCTGCTTATCTTATACGGAGTACCAGAAATCACTACATATGAGAAAGAAAATTCTTACGTTCAATTATATGTTTTTACTAACCATATTGAAGTTGAAATCCACCTATTTGAAATGTCACGTAGACACACTAATAATTATATACTCCGTAATAAAGAAATATAATGGTGTAAATATAGAATTGCATCATGGTCAGTCTCTGCATTCTCTATTGAAATTTATGATGTACATGATTGTAGATAACCAGTCAAATATGTGTTTCGACATTGTATATGGCGAAGTCTATAATCATATGATATCTTCTTTTTATACCTAAAAGAACTATGTATGAGAAAGAAAATTCTTCTGCTCATTTATTAGTCCGCTTATCTTAGGGATCATTTACTTTTTTTCTATTAAATCCTGATCGAATTAAAACGTCAATCTTGGTTCAGATACCCTATTCCGATTAATTGTGAGAATCCACATATATTAATGTCGCAAAAATAATTATTGTTTGGTTTAGAACCCTCATTAATTAGTACAAGGTTTTATTACAGAAATAAAAACGGATAATAAAAAAATAAAAAAAATTAATTTATAGGACAACTAGAATAGCTAACATACCAAAACTCTGAGAACCAGAAAAAATGGTATGATGCACATAGATGTTTTTACTTTGACTCTTTTCAATCACATACCAAACCAGAACAAAATAAATAAGACTTAAATAGACTACACCAGACTTAAACAGATAAAATCAAACCGAACCACAATTTGACAATTGTAAAATACACATATATCGAACATCTACCAGACCAATTTAAACAAGACCAGACCGAACTTAAACAAACAGTCAGACCAAACCAGTTCAAATAAATTAGACCAGACAAAAAAATCTGCTCAATTAAAAACATTCTAATATAACTTATTATTGTGCAATTGTAGAAAGTGAATTTTGAATTATGCACAAATAGTTAAAAGGAATTTTATCTAAATAAAATTGAAATTGTTTGGATAAAATTGAACTGAACAAAATTTATATACGTAGTATTAAACAATTTTATCTTATAATTATTTGAAAATTATGGTTTCAAATTATTATACTTTTGGCAATATTATAAGCAGTAGTTGTTATCTTGCTAAGATGAACTACTTTGGATAGTATGACCGTTTTTCAATTAATGTGCTCATAAATAGAGTATAAAATTAGTAATAACTCTAAAACCAAAATGATAATATTATAATATTAGTGAATATATTCTTTTTTCAATAAAAAATGTCATTTCCAAGTTTGGTAATAATTTAAAACTCCTATTAATATTTTAATTTACCTTGACATTGCCGCCGGTTGTTACACTAGTTGAATAACTAACAATGTAATAAAAACTTTTAGACAATGATAAGAGTAAATTGCCGTCATTTTAATTACATCATATGTTCATACATTCATTCAACCTTGACTATTATTATGAACACATTTTTGCTTTTCAAGCTTATCATCTAACTTTTTCATCTAACATGTAACTTTTGATTACGCGCGCTAAATTATGTAATAATAAGAAAAAGTAAGATTGAAGTTACTTTTTAGCTGTATTGGCTGAAGTTACGGTAGATGATCACTTTAGTTGTTTTTTCATATCTTTTTCTTTGATTTATTAATAAAATGTATTTAATTTAATTTATAAATTAACAAAATCAGTCAATCTAACCATTTCAACCAGACCTTCACAAATTCTAACAAAATCAACCAAAATAGTCGATTCAGATATTATCAGACAATCTTTTTGAGAATATTACAACTACATAATTACTTTAGCAAAATGAGATTAGTTTTATTAAACCATTAATAAAAAATAAATAAAATGCTAAATAGTTTTATGAAAAATAAATACAAAATGTACATCCCATGTGGTTTTGTCTCCTTTTTCTTTTTTAAGTCATGTTTATCTTACCAAATTTGGCCACATTTTGCAACTCTCATCCATTCATACATTTACAAATTTGATACGGGTAACCATTAAGGATGTTTTTACTTGGACTGTAATTCGTCCCAGACCAGACCAGACTTGAATAGTTATAAAAATACAAAGAAACCAGACCAGACCAGACCAGACCAGCAAATTACAGTCCAAGTAAAAACATCCTAACACAATCTTACTTTTTCCTGGATGTTCCTATCAAACTATTGAATGAGTAAAGTTATACCAAAAGTAAATTACCTTCATCTTGAAATCACACTGCCACAGTGCCACGCTTTGACATTACTTGACATTAATTAATATGATAATATGATGATAATATTAATGCATAATTAACAGTACTTTTCAAGCATGAATGCATTTATCATTTATGCATGCCAATAGTTACTCCTAATTTGGAGAAAAAACAGTCCCACTATTTTGAAATTCACACCATTGTTATTCTTATCTATAGTAATTTATGATAATGTAAACAATACAGATTATAGAATGGGTAGTTTACTAAAATGGTTCTGGTTCTATATATACACACAAACACAGATACATAGAACAACATCATCATCCAAGCCTTACTCTCAAAAGAGTTTGGGTATTATAAAATTGGAAAATTGGAAATCACAATCCACTCGTGATCATAAAATGTATGATGGAATAAGCGCTGATGAAAGACGCTGCAGAATGTGTGGGTGTAACACTACAAAAGAAAATGCCAGTCTGTACTGTATTGATAAACAAATTCATCAGTCTTTCTTGTCTACCTTGCGGTAAGGGGCAGCAGTGTACGCATGCTGCTGAAAGAAGGAGAAGAGAACCATCTCCACCATCACTAACATATTCTGAAGAGCTTCTTGAATGTGCTCCACGTCAAACCAGACATGATGTGATTTGATTATGCCGAGGGCAACAAGAATCTCAAGCACAATTCCCTGGAAAGTACGTAGAGCACGAACAATATGGATATGTGACATAAGGTTAACCATAAGTGTGAGCATTATGTAAAAGCAAGAAGCTAAGAGCCTTTACCCAATCAAGTCTCACACTCGGGTGTGAGAGGCTTTTGATCATTAGCTTAAAAAGTTGAAAGATGATTATAAATTATAGAACTTTGAAATTCTGTCCTAAATGGTCAAACTAATAGTAGTAGTTCAACATGACCCGTATGATGGTGGTTCATTAGAGCATATCCTTTTTAAAATCTGTTCAGTCTTTTTGAATTTTATACAGATCAAGTGGCTCTTTAGAACGTGATAACTCTAATATAGTTTGGCTCCATTTTAAAAGGTTAACGTAATAGTAAATCTCACCCAAAGCCCTATATAAGTATTTGTATCTTTATATTTGAAAATGTGCAATTATTTAATAGAAACAATGTGCAAGTCTCTAGATGCATGAGAAAGAGAACTAGTTACCTGCCAAAAACAAAAGAAGACAATTCCTTTGACACACAAAAACTTAGAAAGCGGCTTGTGTGGGGCCAACTCTTTAGCAAACACGTGGTAAAAAACGACAAGCGAGTACAAAGCCAGTGAAACTGAAATATTCAAGATAATGGTGAAAATCCAGCTAATCCAAGTGGGATACATGCCAAGAAGTTGTAGAGCAATCATCAACACAGAGCACACCGGGCGGATCAGAACAAACTGCCATGTCCAGTCTTTGAGAAGCTTCAAAGTGTGATGATTTAAATGGGCAGTGTGAGGCTGCAAATAACACACACAGCAATGACAGCATGTAAAGTCGTATATGGCTATTTTTAAGTATATAAAATCTAGGGAGTAGGATCGGACATGGTCCCAAAACTGGACCAGGACCGCTCAGTTTTTTCTGTCCATGATCATACCGGTTTCCAGGGATCAAGGAGGAACCGACTCAAACCCGATCCAGTTCTGATTACTAAAAAAAATACTGGACTGACCAGTTCTGATACCATTGTTTATTACTCCCTCCGGTCCTAAATAAACTTCACACTTTGACTTCACACAAATTAAGGAAATAAATTGGACTTTACTGTAGACTACACTGTTGTGACACTGTTTGGCACTTTGTGGCACTGTTTGGCATTGTTTGGCACTGTTTTGATGTAGATAATTTGCCAAATAAGGAAGGGAGAAGAAATATAAAGTTTATTTTGGACAATTGGATCTACCCAAAAAGGAAAGTGTGAAGTTTATTTAGGATCGGAGGGAGTATTAGTTACAAAATTCAGTAGGAATAGAACAAGAGCCGGGTCAGAAATAAGCTGTTCTACCCGAACAGGAACGTATCGATGTTACCGATTCCAATTACTGTTCCTACCTTAAAGGGACAAGAATCAACCTGTTCAGAACCAACCTTCAGGGAGTAAAAAACCTAATGCATCCATCAAGATTTATGGAATACTTTGACCATGACTGCAAGCTAGGTATGCATATGGAAAAACTAATATAGCTACTACCTGAAACAGAGTCATAGGAAATGAGTGGTGAATCTCTCTTCCTTTAATCCCGTCTGGCACTATGTTTTTGCTTATGGATATATTTAGGTATGTGTACATCAAACCTAAAAACTTGGCCATAACCTGCATTTTTTTTTCATAAAACACAATATTCATTAACGAATATGATCAAGTAACAGATACCATCCAAGAAAAAGATGGAAGTTTTCAAACACATTGGTCATACATACTACCTAGGGATTTAATATTTAACGAAATCAACTAAAAAGACTTACAAGGGCTTCATAGCATTCCTTGACAGACTCCAAAGAGGTGAAAAAGGCATTGCTCCCAAGGAAATCAACTAAACCAATATAGGAAACAACAGCATACAGGGGAGCCATTAAGATGATAATAAGTATCGCTTGTTGCTCCTTCGGCTTCTTCCATGATGAGAGATGTTGCGACACAAGCTTTATTGTGAAATATAAGGTGAGCAATAGACACACTGTGGAGCCCGTCATTACCACATTCACATGAGCCATTCTGTAATGAGCCAGCAAGACATATCAAGTCAAAACAAGGAGCTTTAATGTCATCTAAAGCACCAAGAAAAGAGTGCAAGTCATATTCAATTTATTTCCTTTAATGGAAAAATGATTATATTCCGCCATACCAAGCTTATACCTCAATTGTTTATAAATACTAAACTACCATATTATAGCAAATTATCACTCCGCCCAAAAGCAGAGATCATTTCAAATATTTTGATCAAATGAAGCTAATTTTATGTTTCCTATGTCAAAAAAGAGTCACAAAAAAGTTACACATGATAACATTAGTTAAACAGACAAATGAAGTTTAAATGTATAAGTAGGATTGACGATTTATGAGTCGTACCTTTAGCAAAATTGTGAAAGTTGTACCATAGTCACACGTGACCGCTCTTTTTGGGACATAAGCAGTAACAAATCATCATCATTGTATAAGTATTCATTTATATGATCCCCATCTGGGACTCAATAATTAATGTTACTTCGCCAATTTTTGGGCAAATGCTCTATGCTAGTTTGAACTCATGGATTGAGAGAGGTTAAATTCTTTCCCCCAAACCCTTCAAAATATAGGTTTCCTTTGGGTCTACGAATAGGTGAGCTTCAAGAATTATAAAAAAGGGCAGCACGGTGCACAAGGCATCCCCACAAGGAGACGGTCCAGGGAAGGGCCACCACAAGGATTATAAAGATGGATTATAAAGATAAAAATGAGCTCTCTAATACAAAGATAAAAATGACTTTACATTACACAATGATGTTCAGAAGAGAGATTTTACAGGGTAGATCACTTCAGTCTTCATTCATGAGGCTAGATCACTGTACCTGGAACTCTATCTCGCTCACGCTTAAGAAAACCATTCTTTCATTATCTGTTCTCTCTCAAAGAACCTCTTTACCGACACTATTTAGGAGACATTTTGGACTGTCACTTGACTCTTCTCACCAGAAGGATCTCACCTCTTTTAGAGTCCACTCTTTTCTTAAAGGATCACTATTCGTACTTTAGGAGTCTTCATCAAGTTGTTTATCAGGAGGAGTCTAACACATAACCACATATACTATCCAATAGATAAATAAAAGAGAAAGCCTTCAGAATTTTCCATAAACCTCTCTGCCTTCTAAACTCTTCCAAGAGATCTTTACAAGCCTCTATAATCTATTAGAATAATTTAGAGCACTTCACACTTCTTATCATATTCTAGATGAATTGATATTTCATACTTTCCTAGAGAATTCTACACCTCTACTGAAGTTCTAGAATACTTTAGGAGATTCCAAAATATTCTACACATAGAGCACTTCACACTTCTTATCACGAATACTTTCGATATAATGCAATAATGCATAAACCATGAATCAAATCGTGAGACCATGCTAAGAGCCACACAACATGGAAATCTCGTGCAAATCATATTGTACTTTGGTTATCCATCAACGAACAAGATATTGGAATTTAAAGTGTTTCAACATGGTCTTTGGACCCCTATCTTAATAAATATTGTGAAGCTTTAATTAAATATAATATTAAAGAATATTTAGTTATTATTATTATGAAAACTATGGAACTACACGAGTGATTTAGTTATCATAATTTAAATAATAATGATGATGATGATAATTCATGAATCCTTCATGGTTTGAGACTTTGTGTCTATTGCACTATGCATACAATAACATCCAACCCTTTGATTAGCCACAATGGCACTATGCATAGCCACTTTTTATTAAATTCCTAAAGAGTTATCATGCAGCCTTTGAGTATTTTGTTTTTAAACTCACAAGGTTTGTAGTTTTTACGTATGCTTTGGTTTTCAAATTAAAAGGCACAACCTTTGATATTAGCATGTGTTTTTTTTCAAAAATTTAAATCCATATGTGATATGTCATATTGTTTCAACCAATCCATTAAAGAGTTGTCTTTTTACTCTATAAAAGAAGGAAGGAGGTTGAGTGAATCATACAGACAGGATTTTTACTTTATCATACCTATCATTTTTTGGCCCTATTTTATTACTATTATCTGCGGTGGTAGTGATAGAATATTTAGACTATATTATATACAATTCACTTGTTAAGTGTTATTCCATCGGTAACTGCAATATACTATTCACCTGTTTATCTCAAATACTACCTCAATGCCACTAACATTGAGACATGAAGAGGTGACATAGTTATTAAGAAAAGTGGGTTTATATGGTTGATATCGAATTGATAAAGTAAGAATAAAGTAAGAATGATTTAGAAACAAATAAACTTTACCAAATTTGGTATGGTACAGTCTTATCGGGACGGATCGAAAAGAAAAGATGAGACAATATTGGTGGAACGGAGGGGGTATTTTGTAACCTGATAACTATGATCATCATCATCATCATCATCATCATCATCATCATTACCCCAGTGCCGCAAAGGCTCCCACCTACGGTGGGATAAGGGGGTCGGATGTACGCAGTCTTACCCCTGTACTAAAGCACAGACAGATTGTTCCCGAATGACCCATAGTAAAAATCACGTCGAAAATTGCATATGCTGACTGTTACTTCATAACAAAGAAGCGCAGACAGTTTAGTGAGCTATTTTGCTTTATTCCATCATATTCCCAAGCCAAAAAATAGTGAGTCTTTGGCTCCATTGAAAATGATGAAAAGGTAACCTGATAACTATGATATGGGTAGAAAATAAACTTCGAGGAAGTGATATCCAATCTCTAGTCATTTTCATACCCTTTATATTTAATACGGAGTATTAAATCACTCTTAGTTCTAACCATAGGTAAAGGGATCGCAGAACTACCCGCAATTTCCGATCCGGATCACGGGTACCAGATCGTGGTACAATCGCATACAGTACGTGTTTGGTTCGCGACTGCGGAACGCGACTGCGATTGGGTAGTTCGCGTATTGCGCGATGTTGGTTCAAAGGCTTCATCTTCCGGCACTCGTTCCGGCATGCCAAACCACGCAGGAGACCTGAAGTTGCAAACGACGCAGGCCACTCAAAGCTTCCAGCAATTTCTTCAGAACAAAGGTCGGCAACCTTGGAGAATGAAACGACTCACTTGTTCTGTTGTATTTCCAGACTTTCACACTTCTGTTCACTCAAAACGACGCACTTGAAACGACGCAAGTTCACTCACGGTTCACTATTTAAAGGCCTACCTCAGTACTCAGCATATCAAACTCTCTGCACCTTTTCTCTACTACTTACTCTATCGACTCTACTCTAATACTCTAGTCCTTCACTTTGCCTCAATATTCTTTTATTGTTGTTGCAAACATGGTTAAGTTTGTTTAATGTTATTGAAGTTATAGAAGTCAATTGTTTAATATTATACTTGTATTAATTATGTTTATGGTTTACCGTACCATAAACAAAGGGTACAACGAACCACGTACCGAAATCGCGTACCGAAGAAGCCTACCCCCTACGTATCGGATTTCTAATTTTGGCGATCCGCATTACCGTTTTCGTACTGCGTACCGAAGCGTACCACGATCCATGTGACTTTGATTCTAACACACGCCGACTAACCACCATAGTATCACAGAGATATTCAACATGACACATCACTTACAAATAAATTGTGAGACCAATTCAGGATCACCCACACAATGCAGCTCATTAGGCCGCTACATGTATGATTCACACTATTAAAGTGAGGTTCATTTTTTCATAGAAGAGTTAACATCCAAAGCTACAATGACGCTAATGTCAAGGCAAAATGAGACCCTTTTACCAAAAAATACCTCTCACAACCTTAGTTAGGATACTACTATTGAGAAGAATCCAACTCACTAGCTCATATTTATTCTTGTACTCTCACTTACAATTTATTCGCTAATACAAAAACAAATACTCCCACCTCTGTATAACTTTATATTACATGATAAAATGTGCAGCATTTTACAAGTGTAGTAGCTCACTTCACTACTTATATTTTGGACTAATTCGTTTTACCTAAACTATTTAGACTTACCAGAAACATTAGGATTTTCTCATCCCCCCTAAGGAAGCTTTTCATCCATACTCGACATCTTTGGGTTGTTTCTTCGCTCACACTCTTAAACTATTTAGCAATGGTCTCATCCTATTTAAACTAACTTCCAGAACTAAATAGTAGTCTCATCTACTATTTAGACGCTCTATGCGGCTGCAATATTGTGGCTGTGGGCAACACCGCAACTGCATTGGGCCGCAATGGCGGTATTTTTGAATTCACTACAAAAACCGCCACATAACAGCATTCGAGCCCCAACAGGCTGCACAGGGACAGTAATACTAATTTATTATTTTTCTTGTTTCAATTAACTCACATGGCATTGGCTGCAATACACATGACAGCGGCCTCAATAGCCCCAAGACCGCAATCTCAATCATCAACCCCAATTTACAATTTTTTTTTGCGATGCCCAATTTACAATTTAAAACCATGGTCAATATACTTAACAAAAAAGGGATTTTATCTTGAAGAAAATAATCCATAAAAGGGTCCGTGGACAGGTATCAGCTGCCCAGAAAGAAGACCCGGCCATAAAGATTAGCCTTCTCTATAATGTGCTCGGTGGATACAAGAAAAATCAACGTAGTAGTAAGCGAAGAAATGAATCAGTGTGTGCGGAGGTGCAGAGAAGACACTCACTTAAGGATCAGCCGCTTCCAGCTCCCAAGGGATTTGGTAGTTGTGATCGATTGGTGCGGAGAAAAATGGTGAAGATGAAAGTAGCCAGATGATCATTAAAAATATCAGTAAAGAGAGTGTGGAATCTCTGACACTTATTAACTCACTCGTACGGTGTGATGTGAAGTGTGAATGGTGCCAAGTTTTTATATTCTATGTCCCTCCATTATTGTCTCATATCATATTTGATTGACTTTAATTCATTCTTAATTATTTTCACTTTATCAACTGATTATCAATTACATAATTCTATTTTTTTAAATCACATCACTCTCTTCCGTCCCAATATTAGAGGGACGGAGTGGATATAATTTCAAAATGAATGTTGTGTTTCCTTTTTCGACAAGAAATATGTCATTCTTATCATTTTACTTTGTTCTACTTAAATCTCAATCACAATTTTTACTTTTCAATCACTTTATTAATAATCGTATCACAAAACATGACAACCAATATGGAACGGGGATAGTACATTTAGAGCCCGTTTGGTAATAGCCAAATCGACTGTATTGACTGATTCTGCTGAATTTATGAAGTTCTGGCTTGTGTGGCTGTATTGGCTTATTCTGCTGATCTGTGAAAAATAATAATTTAAAATACATTTTTGTAATAAAATAAAGAAAAAATTATATGAAAAAATAGTTAAAATGATCTTCTACAGTAACTTCAATCAATACAGTCCGAAAAGTAACTTCATCCTTACTTTTTCTTATTATTACACAATTCAACCCATAAACCAAAAGTTACACGTTTTTTGTGAAAAAGTTGGCTTATAAGCTTGAAAAGCCAAAAATCATGGCTACCAAACGGACACTTAATTTAAAGTTGTTTGATAAAGATTTTTCCGCACTTCTAGCTCAATCGATTGAGTGGTGATAAATAATTTGGTTGATTATTTAAATCAAATGAATGTATTGAAGTAATGGAATTTTGATTGAAGCATTTCAGTTGATTATTTTGACGAGGTATGCAGATATTATATTAAAGTTAAATTTGAGGAAGAAGGAGCAATTAGATCGATAAGGTAAAAACACCTTTTTGCGAATTTATAATTATCATTTAGGCCATTCCCAAACACTCCTTAATAGAAGCCAACCATCAGCTCATATTCCCATTAGTTTTTTATTTATCAGACTTGAGGTCTTAAATAAAAAATTAAGACTAAACAAATCAAAAGATTATGCATTTAAAAATATTGTTAAATTCTTCTCATTTGAAATTTTCAAAATATAATTTTTTTTAAATTTTTTTACTAATAAGGAATGAAATATATTAATAGTCAAACTTGTGTGTTGACAAACGTGAAAAGTGAATTGTTGCAATTAAAAAAGAACAAAAGAAGTACTAAAGATGGTATGTTGGTTGTTGAACATTACGCGTACTATTTTTCTTAATTTCATTGACATACCTAGTGTGTACTAACTACTAAATAGGAGTTTTTAAAATGTTGAAACAATTAAATTGATGTTTCTTCATTAACTATGTAAAGGACCGAGAAAATTGGAACTACACAAGGCACCTTCCCTAGTTACAAAGCTTTAAAACATGAGCTTACCTGCGAGGCTGCGAAACGAGACATTTGAATTTCGTTGGAGTTGATGGAATAGAAATATAGAATGCTAGATCGGCTCTTATATAAGTTGGGAGTGGGAATTGAGCAATCTGAGTCGCTAAAGTGCCTATTTGACCCTTTAGCCAATTCAGAATGCATATATATAACATAACTACAACATATTATAATGAAAACAAGAAGCCACTTTGGCAGAAAATCTTTTAATCAACACCAGCTGAAACATCCATTCAGCAAGTAGCCTATAACAATACAAAATTTCTTCTTACAAAATCTATGGGACTACGAAGTTGGTGCAACAAAAATGAGCCAATTACATAAGTACATAACAAATTCAAAGATCAAACGAACTTTGGTGTAAGCAAAATAGTCAATAATGGACCCAAAGCACACAAAAGTTAGCGCCCGGTTTGAGAAAAAAGAAGTTTATATACTGCTACCTGAAATTATACCACTTATACTGATGGTAATTGAACATTAGCGCAGGCTGCCTTTTTCTGTATGCTAAACATGCGGTGTCGACCTCTGCCTTTTCGTGCATTAGCGATTTTAGAGGTAATCGAATTGCCTAAAGCACCTAAACTGTCAGCCCCCATTAGCTTCAAGCCCAAATTCTTGAATAAATACAACACTTTACAATCATTTGATCCAGTCACCAGTTGTATTTCTTGTGCCTGACTACACGACAAAACCGTAAAAAGATGCAGTGGTTGTTGTTCCAACAACTGTTGATATATGGTGTCAGTCTCATTTCTGCAAGACATATCGCCAGTAAAGGTGTTGGAAAAAGTTACTCTCATGAGACCCAAAGATGTGGGATCATTAGTCAAGGAATCAAATACAAATGAAAACTGCCCAAATGCCAGGTCAGGCTTCTTGAACAGTTTTGTCAGAACCTCACTGTTTGGTCCAGAATTTTTGGTTATGCATTTCTTTGGAATGTTCTGCCACTGCTTCATAGCTTGGAAGATTCGTGAAGCTTCTCTTAAACCACTCAGATAGGCACCATGCATGGTGGCTGGATGTTGACGAATTGTTGCTTCACCAGCAAAGAATAGCCTCCCATCAACACTTTCTGCCAAAGTATCATAGTCACTGCCAGATGATCCCACTCCAACATGCGAATAAGAGCCATAAGTAAAGGGATCACTTCCCCATCTTGTGCACATGGATTGCACAGGATCAGGCACATCGATCCCCTGAGGACCATATATACCTGCAAAAGATTGCAGCGTAGACAAATAAATATGGACTTCAGAAATAAAAGATGTCAACGAGACACAAATGAAAGTTTTAGGCTCTCATTAAAAATACGTAGTACAATTTAAGATTGGTAGAAAACCACTGGGGGCTATTAAGATCTTATTTTTTTAATCCAGTTTTTCTATACAAGAATCACACATTTTCAAGGGGAAAGTTTGCTTCTTATACACCATATGATGGGACCCTTCCCCTGACACTCGCCTTGTGGGGACACCAATGTGCACCAAGCTGCCTTTTTTTTAGAAAGGGATCTATTAACTAAATTCCCACAAATTATTGAATACCTCAGTGGTTACACTGATTTTTTTCTGATCGACAACTCCGTTATAATATCTTAGAGGTTCAGGTATGGCTGCAGGGCATATCATCCAAAGATATTTTCCACATTTGAAATGAAAAACAAGAAAACATAATCATATTGATTTTATACCAACTACAAGTTTCACAAAATAACTCCATTAAAACAATATCATCTTTAATAAGCTAATATGAAAGTAATTTAACTAAAAAATGAGCATTCACACTGTTCTTTGAATATTTAAAATGAAAAGCACGAGATTATTATCCTATTTGGATTTAAAATTAACATATACTTATATTGAATGACATTATTAAAAAGCATTGAACTTAAAAATAGCCTTCTGCGTTCGAAGGCAGCCGCCTGCCACGCAAAGGGCCTCTGTTATAATTGTGCTGACCAATATTTTTTGAGCTCACTGAATCTGATAACGACTCAGATGAAACTAAACCACCCGATCTGTCTCTCATTACATGCCATGCCTGGCTCAGACCCAGCCATAAATATGCATATAAATGCTACATTTCGTGGTGCTGCCATTACCATCTGGTGGACTCAGGGAGTACGCAAAAGTTTGTCCACGAATACCTTGGCAGTGGCCAGGGCTTTCAACACCATCTGAACTCCCATTTGTTTGCGATCATTGTTAATGGTGAACGAGTTCCAGTTCTCCTTCCCATTCCTTGGCGTACACATTCAAGCAGATTTCTATGTCCCACCCCTTACCTTGATGTTCAAAACATTTCCAACCAGTTTTTATGGAAAACAACTACAACCGAGGGAGGGGGACAACCTGCGGGGTTTCTATTTCTAACAAACATGGTTGTTTGTGCTAAGACATCTCAGACCAGCCAAGTATAAATTCACAAAACCCATATACTAGGTTTTGGTGTGCTCCTCTTACCAATGATTTAGGATGAAACCTCAAGTTTCAATAAGATATCAGTGCTATTTAAGCTTAAACGAGCACCGATATGGCGGCTAAGATGGGGCAATTTACACAACTTTAAATACTTCATACATTCAAATTCTAAGGGTCCCAAACATTTTAGGGTAAATTCTTGCATTCAAATTCCTAAGCTTACATTTGTGAACTAAATAATCTATGTTCATGGTGTTTAGATCACTTGTAATATAAAGTTTAGGAAATTTATTTCACGCATATAGTTTGGGACTTTGCAGGGCTAAGTTCACACATTCCCGTAGTTTGGAATATTTGAATTAAATTTCACCACGATGTTTAATAGCTTAACTCATATCATTCATAAGAAGTAAGATGTAAGAGATATGTTGTTGTTTCCATCCCGTATTTTTTTTTAAATAATTTCCATCATTTGCAATGGAGTCAAAGATTCATTATTTTTTGGCTTGAGATTATGATGGAATAAAGCAAAATGGCTCACTAAACTGTCTGCACTTCTTTGTTATGGAGCAGCAGTCGGTCCATGCAATTTTGGACGCGATTTTCACTATGGGTCATCCGGAAACAGTCTCTTTGTGCTTTAGTACAGGGTAAGACTGCGTACATCCGACCCCCCTTACCCCACCGTAGGTGGGAGCCTTTGCGGCACCGGGGTAAATGAAAAAAAAAATGAAAATGTGACCTTTTAAATAGGTAAGAAGAAAAAGACTAATAGAAGGATCTTATATTCAGTCTTACAAAGGTGAAAGAAGTTTTCACAATCTTAGGAAATGGAACAATCTAAGTTGTAAAAACCGGACCGGGAAGCAACCCGGCCGAATAACTGGGTCACGGGTCAACCCGGACCCGGTGGGTCAACCCGGTCAACGCCGGAAAACCCGGTCAACATAGAAATTGAGTTATTATTCTAAATTATACAAGGTCTTACAAAATAAAAATGTATTTTTAATTAAATTGACAATAAATACAAATATAATGCTTATTAGAAAAAATAAATACTATCGTATTATATATATAACTTCACATATTATTATTATTTATCTCAGTCATACTTAGCTTTTAATGTATTGACTGAAAGCATTTAGTAATAATGATTGTTATTTATTTATCAAGTAATACTAGGCTTTCAATAACACTCCGGGATGTAATAAATACGGACAAACATCAACATGAACAAACAAACTAGTGTAGCTCGGTGGTTTGGAAGCATGTTATCCAACTGAAGGACCCGAGTTCAAAACCCTTCGGCGCATATTTTTGCAAATAATTCCGGTTTGTGCTGATTTACCGGGTTTGGGCTGTCCCGATTGCGGTCCGGGTCCGCTGGGTCTGCCGGGTAAATCCGGGTTTGGAGCTATTAGCGGCTTGATGAGTTACCAGACCGGATTGGGCTCCGGGTGACCGGGTTCCGGGTCGACCCGCTCGGTCCGGGTCGGGTCTTTAAACATAGGGAACAATACATTGAGTTTGACCTCCACAGCTATATCGTTTCCTCTTAGGTGAGTCACGATACATATATAAGTTCACAATTGACACTCATACATTACTAAGTTGAAGTTTAGACTAATTCTAGAAGAAATGTAAGATTAACATACAAAGAGAATAGGTGAAGTGTGATGACCAGTTAAAATTCTAGCCAATAGAAAATGTTAAATAAACTTAGAAAGAAAAATTAGAATCCAATGATTCTTAAAACATTTATCAAAATTATTCATTGTTTAATAGTATAATGTCATTGTTTAATAGAATAACCTGCAGATTAAAGATTTATAATACCTTTAAGAATGTCCATAACTTGATGAACCAAAGTGGATGGCTCCGTAGATTCAAAGAATTGTGCAGCAACACCAGAAACAAGAGCAACAAGTACAGGGCCTCCGGAAACAGTATGATAACTGTAAAATAGAAAGAATTCTCCACGCCTATCCCTAAACTGGTTGAGATGGCCAAATGTATCAAGATCATCTCCCCAAAAAACATAGGGGAACACCATTGCAACCTTGTTCAACAAGCCAAATCCCAGTCTTTGTATTGCTGCAAGTTTCTTCTCCGGTAGTTCTGGTTCAAATCTTATTGATTTTCTCTTTAAAACCCCAAGAGGAACCGTACAAAGTATCATATCTGCTTGAAAAACTTGGCCACCAGCTATGACTTCAACTGCATTTCCGTACCTTACTGTCTGAACAGTTTTACCATAGAAAACAGGAACTCCCTTGCATAATGCTTTGATTAGTCTCAAATTTCCACCAGCGAGCAAGCAATGGTCACCTCCCATTTCAAAAGGGTCGTCTTGATCCCAATGAGCAGCTGAAAGGTTTGAAAGACATCCGGCATTTGCATATTCCAAGTTTGCAAAATGCCAGTCCAGAAGCTGTCTCTCCTCTGTGGTTCTAGCCACAGCATATAGGTGCGTAAGTGTTTCCAAGACAGAACCTAAAGAAATATCATTAGCGAATCCTCTCATTATTTTTCGGAACTCCATGACTTTGTCAAGCAGCTTGTTAAAAATATGTTCAACTTTAGAATCAACATTCTTGTCAACTGGTGCTCCATCAGGTTGGTACAAAGGGCACTTATCTCTAACTTTGTGGAGAGGGATGGAAAGTTGTCTGGCCAAAACCCCCAAAGGATTGGCATCGATGCCAGTAATTACACTGCCACCAAGATCAATTGCAGAGTAGTTACCATTTTGCCCCAATTTCTGTGTATAAACTCTTCCACCAGGACGGTTTCTACCTTCAAGTACAACCACTTTGAAACCAAATGACAACAGCTGCCTCGCTGCAGCTAATCCAGCAAGTCCAGCACCGATAATAATGACAGACCCTTCGGTTGCCTCCTCGGGGATCCGAGACACTACAGAAGGAGAGACCCCAAAATTTATGTATCCGTTATACAAGAGAAAGTCATAAGCAGCAGATATTATATGCTCATATTCGCTGCTCACAGTTTCCCTTATCTGGCCCTTGGAAATCCATGACCGAACATTATACCTCCACCGGGCAAGTATGTGGTTCCTCACAACAATATAATCATTTTGCTCTTTCCCGCCTAACTCTGTTACAACCCCAGCTTTAATTTCCTCCTCAAGTAAATCATCGATGGGGAATCCCAAAGAAAGTGCTAGCATGGCCTCTACTTCAGTCTCTTTCTCTAATTGCTCTCTTGTTCTAATCCTCTTCTTCTTCAAACCACCCAAATGTCCCTCCATTAGTTCATCCATCAAATTCTCACTGTAATTCTTTACACTCACTTTCCTCCTCATCCTCCTGACTGAAACCGGGGTCTCCATTCTTCTTCCTCTTCTCGCAACCCTTTTTAGCTCAAACTCAACCCCTAAAAAGCTGCTTCAGAGTTCTTATTCACTGAACGAACTGGGAAAAACCAAAGCAATATTTATGCTCATAATCGTAAACTTTGTGCATAACAGTTCAAGTAGTCCCTAAAAAGTTCATAGCCACTATAATATTACAAGGTTTAAAATCCTGGACTCAGAAATTGTTTAAAAATTGAAGTAGTTTTCAGGTAAGTTTGTCATAATTGTACTCTACAGAGAACTCAAAACATGACACATTCACGAACTTGAACGACCTTTCAAATCATTTGAAACATAGATTACGCGCCTCCAATAAAAACCGGTAACTGACCTGGATTTTGTAGAATCAGGCGTTTTCGTTCATGGCAAATGATCTCTCACGAACGTCTTAAAAGTATGGTCCGGCGAGTGAACTCGGGGAGCAATAAACCATTTTATTATTGGAATATCATACGAAATAGTTTTTAGTCGGGACTGTGCCGATTCAATGTATCCCGCCCTTCCAGATGTGGGGCTCGTTCCAGTTCCCGAGTCGGGTCGGGTCTGATATACTAAAACGCCCACAAGCCTCTTCGCATAAATCGCCCTCTTCTCTCCAACTTAACGCCGTACGCACTCCGGCGAGGGAGATAGAACTATATAACTGGTGGTTTAGCAGAAACTCTGTATTTTACCATGCATTACATTCCGCTCAGATTGAATGTTGCAGTTAGGGTTTCAGTTTGAGTGTTTTGCAGTCCCGATCAGTATCTGGGAACGATGAGCACATCAGCATCTAGTCAAGAGAATGAAGGTCTGAGATTCCAGTGCGCGCCAAATCCAAAATTTTGGTAATTCAATTTAAACGTCTCTCTGCCATGTCCTTGCAGTTACGTATATATAGGTCTCACGGAGCTCCCCTTTCTGACTTGCAAGTTAAAAAACTTACAACGACCACTTCTGTACAAAGTAATGAAATACTCCGTATTTGGATACAATGAAGTTAACTATCGAAGTACACTTTTAAAATACCTCAAACTTTTAAAGAGGTGAGTTAAGCAGGGCAAGAGCCAAGCCCTGATGAGTAGGAGGGCGCGGCGGTCGCTGTAAAACCTTGGAACCAAGGACCGCTTGCGGTCCGATCCGTGCGGAAGACATTGTCAGGTGGGGAGTTTGGCTGGGGTCGGCATCGTTTATGGTTGAGACTAGGACGGTATCTGATCGTCCTAAATTTTATATAAAAAGTTATTTTAATATCACGGTCATGTATTATTTCTTTCAAAAAAATGTTACTACGTAATTTTTTGTATTAATTTCATAATTTAAAATTTTTTAACATTCGTGAAGATACAATTAACATTCTAAACTTCCATTACAAAATAAATAGTACTACTCCCACTCTATATAATTGCAACGTTTTCAATTTGCTATTTTAAATTATGCAATTAACACCACAAATTTACATTTTTAAAATAAATAATACATGATCATTAAAATAACTTTATATATAACGTGTGTGGTATTTAAATTACGTGTAAAAGTTTGGAGTGTTTATCTCACACTCTTTCAAATTTTGAGGTATTTTAGTTATTTTTCCCTATTTTAAATGCACATATACTTTATCCATTTTTTTTAATTGAAATGCTCTCATTTGAGGTTCGTTGGACCGCTAACATATCTTTTTGGTTGAAACATTTTTTTATGCTGCCTTTTTCTAGCTTGCATTTTAGTGTTTACGAGTATTCACTCTTTTAAGAAAATTAATTCTTTAGTTGAACTACGACTCAAACAAGAACCAATTAATAAGTAGTGTATAAATAGGCTTCTGGGCTGGGTTTAATTGGGGTTAACAGGCTAGGGCGGATAGGTCATGACATGTTGGACTGAGCTGGCCCATGGCCTATATGGAAATATGGAATGGGCTCGAATTTTAGCAAATGAATTCAGCACGCCTCACATGAACCCACGGTTAATTATAATACTTACTTAGCTTTAGGCATAAGAATAGTTAAAACTCTTTATCGAGGATCGGATCATTTTGTACCAAGTTTCTATTTGATTTTCCTCTGCTATCATTTGTGAGTTTCCATTGAGGATGTTTTTACTTGGAACATTCTGGTTTGTTTAAGTCACAATTTAGACCAGACTTAAATAGACCAGAACAAACTTAAAGAGAACAAATATTAGAAAATGAACTCAGATGAAATGAAGGAGATTTCAATAATATTGATTACAAGAGTCAATACAAGTATTTATAGTAGAATGTAAGTAACTAACTCTAACAGCCTGTATAACAGCACTAACAGCCTAAGGTATATGTAGAACGTTCCAAGCTATTTACAATAAACGTATGTAACATTATTTTATATTCCTAACATTCCCCCCTCAAACTTAGGGTGATTGATTTTGAAGGTCGGTCAATCACACTAAGTTTGGTTTTCAACTCAAGAAAAGATGATGCAGATAAAGCCTTTGTCAGAATATCAGCAATTTGTTGGGAAGCAGGAATATGGAACACTTCAATCTGCTTGGACTGAACTTTCTCCCTCACAAAAAAGAGATCAATCTCCATGTGTTTTATCCTGGAGTGTAACACAGGGTTGTGGGCAAGCTGTACAGTGCTGAGGTTGTCACAGTAGATCTTTGGAGTAGAAAATGATACTTGAAGTTCTTTGAGTAAGAACTGAAGCCACATAAGTTCAGCTGCAGTGTCTGCTAAACTTCTGTATTCAGCTTCTGCAGAGGATCTGGCCACTCTCAGTTGTTTCTTGGACCACCAAGAGATTATGTTTGACCCAAGAAAGATGCATGATCCAGAAGTAGACCTTCTGTCAACTAGGTCAGATGCCCAATCAGCATCACAAAAGGCAAAGATAGGTAAAGGCATAGTTTTAAGAGGTAGAGGTTTAATGATGATGCCATGTGTTATAGTACCAGTTAGATATCTGAGAATGTGTTTTACTGCCTTCCAGTGATCTTGTAGAGGTACTGCCATGAATTGACAGACCTTATTTACAGCATAACTAAGTTCTGGTCTTGTAAGAGTTGCATATTGCAGCATGCCAACAATGGATCTATAAGTGGAGGGATCAGGAAGAGTAGCACTTCCTGTATTAGTTAGCTTGCAGTTACTAACCATTGGAGTTTTCACTCCTTTGGAATCAATCATGCCAGCTTGATGTAATAAATCTCTTATGTATTTGGTTGGAGAGAGATGAAGACTTCCATCAGGCAGCTTTTTGACTTTTATTCCTAGGAAGAAGTCAATGTCACCCAAGTGCTTGAGAGAAAAGGATGAGTGTAGTTTGTAAATAAGGTTTTGAATTGCTTTAGAATCATTGCCTATGACCAGAATATCATCTACATATATTAATATGTAGATCTGAACTCCTTGAGACTTGAAGAATAGGAGAGATGGATCACATTTACTTTGCTGAAACACTGCTGTATAAAGAACTGAAGTCAGTTTGTGAAACCAGGCCCTAGGAGCCTGCTTTAGGCCATACAATGACTTGTGAAGTTTGCATACTAAAGTGGTGTCCTGTGCCTGAAAGCCTGGGGGTTGGACCATGTAGACTTCTTCATCAAGTGTTCCATTTAGAAAGACATTATTGACATCTAATTGCTGAATGGACCAATGATAAGAAACTGCCAAGGTGAGCAATATTCTGATAGTGATAGGTTTGACCACTGGAGAAAAGGTTTCTTTGAAATCAAATCCAAATCTTTGATGGAAGCCTTTGGCCACTAATCTGACCTTATATTTGTTAAGAGAACCATCGGGGTTTTCTTTAACCCGAAAGACCCGTTTACAGCCTATAGCTTGTTTGTCAGGTGGTAAAGGAACTAAAGACCATGTTTGATTTTCTATCAAGGCATTATACTCATTTTTCATTGCAGAGAACCACTGAGGAGATGTGAGTGCTTGCTTCACTGACTGAGGCTCAACATGTGCTAATAGCAAGGTAGGATTAAGTCTAGGTTTAATAATTCCTGATTTTGATCTAGTTTGCATAGGATGAGTGTTAGTTATATGAACAGAATTGGAAATTGAGGAAGTAGAGTCAGATGATGGAGGAGAAGGTGGTTGTGGATTAATAGCTTGCTGATGTAGGGATGGACTGGGAGTAGAGTTGTTGGAATTTACTGAAGAATTATGAGTGGAAGGAGTAGATGAATGGCTTGCTGATTGATTGTGATTATTAGAAGAGATGGGTTACGGGGCAGTGGGCTGGGAATTATTTGATGAGAGGTTATGAGACTGAGATTGTGATTTAGTGAAGGAAAGTTCATGAAATTGGGATTGAGATGAGTTAGAAGCAGAAGAAGGATTTGAGTCTAAAACAGTTAATATGGCAGAATCTGAGTTATGAATAGGTTTGGTTGTGGGAATAGAAGATTGGGATACAGATGAATAGGGAAAACTGGATTCATGAAAGATGACATCCTTTGAAATGTACACTCTGCCAGATTTGGAAAGACACTTATAGCCTTTATGCTGAGAAGAATATCCTATGAATGTACACTATTCTGAGTGAAAATCAAACTTGTGTTTATTGTAAGGTCTGAGAAAAGGATAACAAGTGCAACCAAAGACTCTAAGAGAAGAATAATCTGGTATAGATCCATAAAGTTTAAAATATGGGCTGGAATTGGCAATGGACTTAGATGGAGTTCTGTTGATAAGATGCACAGAGGTTGCAAATGCAGCATCCCAGAACTTAAAAGGTAAAGAAGAATGGGCTAGGATTGAGAGACCTTTTTCAACAATAGTGCGATGTTTCCTTTCAACCAAACCATTTTGATGATGAGTGTGGGGACATATGATTCTGTGAGTGATTCCTTTTTCATTGAGGAAATTAGTGAAGGATCTAAATTCCCCTCCCCAGTCAGACTGTACAAATTTTATGGATATTGAAAATTGATTGAGAATCAAGTTGTAGAAATTTTGGAATGCTAGAAGAGCATCATACTTATTTTTCAGGAAATATATCCATGTATATCTTGTAAACCCATCAATAAAGGCTATATAATAGGAATATCCATCAAAAGATACAATGGGTGCTGGACCCCAAAGATCTGTGAATATTACTTCAAAGGGTTTATGATAAACAGTATTAGAAGGATGTGAAGGAAGTCTATGTGCCTTCTCAAGACAGCAAGCAGAACAGAAATCAACATCAATGTGATTTATAGAAGACACATTACAATGTTTAAGTACAGATTTAAGTGCCTCAAGATGAGGATGACCTAATCTGAGATGCCAAAGATTACATGAAATTGAAGAATTACATGACTGAGACTTATTACATGATGACAAACAAGACATTGGATGCACAGATTTATTAGTAGACACTAAAGAGGCTGGAGGATGAACTGCAGCAGTTGGACATGGACCAAGAGGAATGAAAGGAAACTTGTATAAGCCATATTCACCAAGTTTTCCATGCAACAAGACTTGTTTAGAAACCTGAGATTTGACATAGCAGTCATGAGGATAAAATTCAAAGATGACATTATTGTCCTTGGCAAATTGACTAACACTCAGTAGATTTTTGGTTATATGAGGAACATGAAGTATATTATTAAGTAAGAGTGATTGTGAGGAGTGATAAGGTGAGAGAAAGGAAGAAAAACCTATAGACTTAATATCCAAACCTTGTCCATTGCCCATGAAGAGCTTGTCGGATGTGGCAATAGGCTCACTATGCTGGAAATTTAGTGGATCTGCAGTAACATGGTGAGTTGCTCCTGAATCTGGAAACCAATGTTGATTAGATGGAATAGGACCAAGTACAGAATGATTAGCAGTGGCATAGTTTGCAATTGGTGGAGTATTAAAAGGTTGCTGATGTCCCCAGTTGAAGGTTTCACGAGGTGGAGATGGATTGGTAAGCTGATGATTCCATGACTGATTGGGTTTTGATTGTATAGACTGAGATTGAAAGGTATATGGTTTAGGTTGATGAGTATAA